AAGGCATCTGACTGCTAACCAGAAGGCTGGTGGTTCAAACCCATCAGCCACTCCTCAGAAGGAAGGTTGGGCAATCTACTTCCATAGTGATACCGCCTTAGAAACCCAAAGAGGGCTTGCTATGTGTTGGATCGGCTTGATGGCAGTGAGTTTCAGTTTGCGTATTAGTAGAAAGAGACATTTTGAATATGTACATATAGCATAATGCACTACAGAAATACACTTATCTATGCACATATACAAGTACTATGCCATTAAGTGGAAGATAATGTCTCAGATGTGTTCTAACACTCAGCAGCTGTGAAAGGATGTTGTTGATAACAATAATAATTAGTATTAGCAAACAATACACAATGAATCATCTTTGTAGACTTACTTCCTTTAACAGCATTTTTTTTTAATTGTGATTTGGGTGAAAGCTTACAGAGCAAACCCGTTTTCCATTCAACAGTTTGTGCACATTTTGCTTCCTGACACTGACTGCAATCCCAGTGTGACAGCTCTCTTCCCACTTCCTCCCTGTGTCTCTCCTTCCTATGCACTCCTGCCCTCTGAGCTGTCGTCCAGTGCAGATACTGCCCTTCTGATCTCTCATAGTCGATCATTCTACCTCTACACCTGTCTGCTGTCTGGTTGGAAGCCATGGCAGTGAGTTCAACTGCAGGCGTGAAGAGTGACTAGGGGCCATAGTCTCAGGGGTTTCACCATCTCTATCAGACCAGCAAGCCTGGCCTTTTTGTTCCACCTTTTTCTCCCACTCTATCTGGGATCTCCTACACTGATCCCTTTCCCAGTGGTTGACAGTGGTGTCTGGGCACCCTCTAGTTCTTCTGGTCTCAGTCATGTAGGCTGAGGTTTACATAGTCTACCAGTACCTTGGACTAACTGTTAAAGGCATTACTTCACAGACCAATATGCACTGAAGGTGGCATCTCTCAAATCTTGATCAGGTCTGGAGTCCAGATCCATCTGTCCTTCTCTCGACTCAGAATCCATTTGTTCTTGAAATTTTATCATGGGAACAACAGTTATAGCATAATATGCTTGGAAAATATTATCCCCTCTAAAACTTGGAAACATCTTACGGCAGCCTCCCACCTAAAGAGATAAAATCTATGTTGGTATCACATACTGGGCCAAAACAACTTTATTATCAAGACAACACAGGTAAACTCTGCCTTCCATGTATTCACTCATGTAATTTCAGCCCTTGGGAAGTAATCAATTAGGGAGAGTCAGTTTATGCCTCCTGCTGCCTGAAACGTATGCATGATTCTCAGAAACCAAACCCATCTTCAAAGATTATACTCACTGCGTTTATCCCGCAGCCACTCAGAGGTTCAGCAGTAGACTAATGGGGCTGCTAACCAAAAGGTCAGTGGTTCAAACCCACCAGCAGCTCTATGGGAAAAAGATGAGGCAGCGTGCTTCCATAAAGATTGACAGCCCTGCGAGTAGCAACTGGGACCTTAAAAGCTAGCAAGCTGCCATCTAGATGCAACAACGGGTCTCTCCTCGTCAAGAAGAAAGAAGAAAACCAAAATT